TTGTCCCGGCCAGCGGGCGAGCTGGCTGTGCCCCGGCAGCGAGCGGGCAGAGCGCGGGGTCCCTGCTCTGCGTTACTGCCCGCGCTTGCTTTCCAAGATGGCCCTCCAGTCGTCCGCCGAGACCCCCGGCCGCCGGCGCGGTGCCTGCAGCTGGACGTGCCTGTTGTGGCAGCAGGTGAAGAGGATGTGCTCCCAGCTCGGGTTCAGCTCCACGCCTGAGGAGGGCAAGGGAGGAAAGCTGGAGTCAGCTGGGGGCTTTTCTCCCCAGCTAACAGCAAGCGATGCGAATGCTTTTCAAACCTCTAATGGTATCCTTGTCATCAAACAGCAAGTCGGCAGATATGATGGTCTTATCTCGGGTTAGAATAATCCGCTCCACAAACTCGGGTCCCAAATGTTTTTCTACCCACTTATACTGCGGAGACAAGAAACAAGATAGGAAAAAATCCCGCCACGCTTTCAGTTTGCACATTGCTCAAGTCAGATCAGCCCTAGTACGGCAATCCCTTCCCCTGTAAACCTACATCCGTGTTTGTGAATCCCCACCAGAGACTGGCTATGGCCCAGGACGCTGCTTTAACCTGTATTTTTAATGGCCTTCAGTCAGCACTGCGTTTGACAGGCCTCATCGTTGTTGGGTTTGCAAACAGCGCTGGCTGCTTGCCCAGAGCACGTGGACTGTGCCTGTCTAAGTCATTCCTGTGGTTAAGGTCCCCCTGCTCCGTTCTTGTGCCAGAGGAAACAGGGCTAGTTCCAGGGCTACAGCCTACTCTGAACTCAGCAGTGGCCTCTTTCAGGACAGCCGGGCATCTCAGACTCCGGATTTAGACAGAATAAGGTTTTGTCAGTTGAGAAGCTGCCAGTGTGGAATCCCCTGGGAATATCCCATCCCTTCAGGCCACGCTGATGGCCAAGCTTGCCTTACCCAGCCATGCTGCATCAGTTCCTTCGCTGTCACACAGCGGGAGCCCACGTGTCACACTCCAGCTCCAACAGCCCAGAGCTCACGTGCCCCGCAGTAAGGCTGGCACCACGCGGCGCTCCGAGGTTCCCCGTCCGGCAGCACGACTGTGTCTGGGCAGAGGGATCGCAGGGAAGCCTGGCAGCCCGTGCCAGCCACTGTCTTTATAAATGAATGACTCTGACTTGGGTGGTATGAAATAGCAAGGCCTTGCAAAAGCAGCACTAAAACCAGTAAAATAAATTCTCTCCCACCTTTTCCACGATGCAGTGCTCGTATTTCCGGAGAGGACTGGTGCAAATAAAGACTTCGGTGCTGAAAAGAAACAGCGTTCATTAGCAGTCAGGGGAAAGTGCATAAGATAATGGAAAAGGGCTGCAGAGTGCAAAGTGTCCTTACTCCTGCATGTGGATCATCTCCTGCATAGCTTCAAGGGCTCCTGGAATTGGATCCAAGCCTAGAAAGAAGCCAGGCGATTCATAGATGCTGGCTACCTTAGCCTGCAAGAGACAGGAGGGCCATTAGCAATGCTTTAATCCACGCTCTGTCCACTTACCCCACGTGTAACAGCCGTCAAAGGGCCAGGGCTTTAGAGAGCGAGGCGATGCTTCACACCAAGAGTGCATTATAAAGTTTCTCACCTTTATGGTCCCAGGAAAAATCCAGCTCAGGCACACAAGCATGAGAAGTTTCTGTCTGGTGGCTTGCTCGGAGTGGCAGAGCTGATCCTGACCCTGTCTCTACAAGCCGCTCCGCGAGCGGCACCACACGCGCGGCGCTGCTCTGCAGCCCCCA